GGGGGGGGGGTTTGATCATAGTAAATCACATGTCTTCGCATTTTTAGTCCATAAAACAAACTTGAATAAGAATGGACATTCATTAGGCTAACTACAAGCTCCTAATTTCACCGCCAGAAGAATCAAGGGCCTGGGCGCTTCTGTACATGCCTTTTTTTTATGACAGCCGCGGGTGGTTGGAGGACACCACTGAGTGGTAGGTCCTACTACATGTACGTATTTTCTTTGTGCTGTTGTTTTGTTTTGTTTTGTTTTTTGTTTTGTTTTTGGTCTCTCTGGCTCATTTCTTTCATTGCACTAAATGAAGACGATTATTATGCCTATGTACTTTGCTTTACACTTTACACAAACAAACATTTTGAAGATATCTAGTTGTAGTAGTAGTAGTAGTCCCATTTCTTACCCTACTTCACCCTTACAAAGATCTTACTGTCAGTTCGGAGACAAAGAACAGCTACTAATCAATCCTCATTGTTCATCTTCAGTCAGTTTTATTCAGAGCATTGCTCAGTTTAGGTGCAACGATAGCTCACTTGGAACAATACTGGAATGCAGCACGGATAGCCCACGTTTACCCCCCCCCCTCCCCACCCCACAAAGGAGTTCTTGAATAGCTGTTTGGGGAGTCCAAATCAAGGCTCTCCATCAACTTCAGCTGGTCATATCGGAAATGGACGATATACTCGATGGCGGGGTCGGGGGAGTCAGAGCAGGTGGCTCTAAAATGATGCTACATCGTTTATAAGAACATAAAACACAATATTTTGTGAACACTTGTCTACATTGCCCTGACAACGTGCAATGTCCACTTTTATGCACAGAACCCCAGATTACTTTCACCTTGGTGCGGAACGAAGGCACGTTTCTCTCAGTGCTCGGTGTCATTAATTGAGTGTCATTTGAAATACCATAAACCCCTAACAGTGTCTATAGCATAGTATGCACTTGAAAAGCAAATTTTATTAATGTGGTCTGTCATTTTATACAGAGCGCACATTTATTTGTTTGTCATGAATATACATGTATTATGCGTATTGATATTTTATAATTAGAATCTACAGCATCTCTATATCCAAAGCTAAGCGCTTCCCCTTCATCTACCCCCC